CCAAAATTGTTATGGGCATTGGAATTCCTTTTGGATGTGGTTAGTAGTGGTTTCTGAAGTCAGTTCAATTAAGCATAGAAATGAGAGGTAACTCCTCAGTAGATATTGGAAGTATTTGCAATATGGCTTGAGGAGTTGTCTCCCCTTTCATTAAAGTTTAGTCTTCAGCATGACCATACATGTAATTTTATGATTGTATATTTTACAATTATACAGTAAAATAAAAATTCACATAATTATTTAAAAGGTATTTATCAGGCATTTTCATTAACGTTAAATGGTAAGTGGCTATCATTTTTTAAACAGTGTATAATTTTATCTGTGATATTATAATATGCATTTTATTTTTCAAATTAGAGTTAACTATTTTAATCCTGTAAATCACATATGAAGCGGCTGTATATATGCATTCCCTATATTGACATGCTCTCCATGAAAAAGCACGTCATAAGGAAATTCTTAACAGAAGAATGAATATTTAAATGTTGGCATGTACAGATACTCTAAATCGAAACTAGCATTCGAGGGGTCAATTAAGTATTCATATTCATAACAGTATGCCTCATTTATAGTTTTTATTGTATTGTTAGTCACTGACCTCTAAACTAGACTACTATAGAGAATGTTGATTAGCTATCTGTGATGCTGTAACTGATCAGTGAAACATGAGTAAGTTAAATCCCAAAGAATGGTTAGGATCTTTGAGAAGTATATAAATAATGACATATTCATAAGTAGATATTTCAAAAATGGTGATATATTTCGAAAAATACATAATAATGCAAATATCACATGTATTAACAAATCATACTGTAAACAAATAGCATATGTATTTGACAGAGTAATAACACACTGCAGTGTATTCCATGAAATTGGGTTTGAGAAAAATAAATTAATTTATACATAGTAATAATTATAATAACAACAACAACAACAATGTTATTAACAATAATTAAATAATTACGTATAAATATGATTAACATGAAAATATGATGAAGCAATTGTTCCCTTTTTATCATTTTATGAACAATTCCTTAGTACTTTCGTGATAATATCCAAAATTTACATAACTTGATAAGCTAGTTTTTATTTTCAATGTTTAACAGTTGGGAAAATTTAATAGTATTTGCATTCTTGTAGTAATATTGTCAATTTCAAACAACGTCAATCTTTTCACATTTCCACATACGATGGTAAATGATGAAAACAGTCTTTTTATCAAGATTTTTTATGAAAAAGTTAAACTATAAGTATGAAAAGTGTTCAGTTTAGGTTTTACAAGTAATCTTTTATAATATTGCTGAAAACCTACTGTCAAAATCACATTTTTAAAAGAACCACGTCAACTTTGAATACAAGTATCAGAGCAAATTATTTCCGACAACATAAATTTACTATTAAAGGAGATATCAGCATTGACATATACTTCTACAAAATTGAAGGCATTCAGTGTTTTTCTAACACCTTCTATTCGAAAGCTACTGCCACTAGCAAAATCAAACCAAGAAGCAATTGAACTTGTGCTAAAATTATTTCTTAAACACAATATATGTACCACTTATTATCATAGCATACGGACGACATGGAATTTCGTACCTACGTGAGTTTATTGATATTATAAAAAAGATTTGACTTTTTTTATTAAAGTCAAATCGAATTGTTTATGTGAAAAGTAATTATCTGAAAAGTATGACTGAATTTTTTTACAATCCAAAGCATCGTCTGCGGTGGTGAAGGTTTTCCGTTTCTAGTTTATTTCTTTAACATTTTCACAATTACACATGTTTAATTTATATGTCTTGCTGTACGAACATACATACGCATTTGTTTTAGCTTATAAGGGGGATAACTCCATAGACAACAGAATTCTAGCATATTTACATCCCATACGGACACACGCGAATGCATGAAATAATACCAAATATGTGATACTCAAAATAAACGGAATTTGAGGTCCACATAAAGCATTGTTGATTTTCAGACAAAATATTAAAACAATAGTATTAGAATTATAAAAGGAATTACCAGACACTGCAAATGAACATGTTGCTTATAAACTGATTAAAAAGGATAGCATACAGTAGAGCAGGTTATGGAAATGGCACTTTACCACATATAAGATAAAATGAGTCTTAAAAGGTACAGAACAAGCCCTTATATTTTGTTTTCACTAGTATAACACACTAGTCTTTATAACAACTGATACAGTTTTTAAATATATTTTACAATTGTGATTTCTTGTTCATTACTAATTATAATTCTCTACTGTACCTTTGTTTTACTAACCAGGTGATATATTGTAACTAGGGAGATATTCATGTAGCTCATGTTGATACAGTGAAACCACTTATAGTTACAATGGTGTTTAGAACTGTTGTTTTTGGAAATGTTATTTCAAATAATGCATTTAATACAATGGCGGACAATGAAAAACTATAGTTTACCTCGTAAGCAACCACTAAAATAAAGTTTTTTTATCAAATTTATTGTACAAGGAGACTTATTATATAATAGATCATGATTACTAATTCATAATTTTGTGTCATATCGTAAAAATTGAACTGTCCGTAAATGCATAACATGTATTGATAATGTTAATAACATGTTCAAAAACTATAACACATGCCCAGATTATGATCTTTTGTTTAGGTGACTTATATAGGTCCTATGGGCCAGTTGTTCATCTTTGTGTATTTTTGTGTATGTATATACGTATAACACATGTCACTATAATAAAGATTTGATTATAAGCAAAAGTTCAAACAAGTAACTAATTAACTCGTAAACGGTGGCATTTTTACTAACTTATCTGATATCATTTAGAAAAAACCCCATTAACTTACAATATTTTGTGATGTAAATTGAATTGTGTGTGTTTTGTGTGCGTGTTTTTTGTTTGTTTGTTTGTGGTTTTTTTTTTTTTTTGTTTTTGTTTATTTTATTTATTGTAGCACAGAACGTGTAATAAATAAAGGTTAAGTAGACTACAAGAAGAACTATTCCACTACCAGTACTGAATGCCTTCACTTTTTCGTTACTTCATACCAGAGCAGAGGTACTTTTGAATGGTCGTAGCAATGACGACAGTGACATGCGCAGTTGGGGAATCGAAAACGGGTCGCCCTATTTTACTGCCCAATGCTCTATCAATTGAGTAATTCGGGTATATTATTCTTTTATCATTGTGAGATTTGTTTATATGTTAAAAATATAATCTCGTCTACTAAAAATCCATTCTTTTAGATAGGTCACACACTGTCTAAAATTAAATACACCGTGGTTTGTGAGGCAGTTGTATGATTTTACACCAATAGTTTAAGCATGAAAAGCTCATGTTGACAATCGATACCAAGATCTGCTATAGATATACACCTTCGAACGAATTCAATCAAGTCCAAAGTCGAGATTTCGATTATTGAATTGTTTTCGTTTTTGTTTGTTTATGCTTTGTTGTTTTTCAAACACGGATATTGCAGTACATGTAAATATATAGGAAAGGACGATGTGTGCCTGCCCTGTATTTAAAGTTCTAACTAATTAAAATTAATATAAATGTTTCAAAAAAACTTACTTTTTGGATGCAGCTGAAATTAGAACCAATCATTTTAACCAAAAACATGAGTGTTCAAGCTAACGCTAAATGACAGTCACTGTCACTTTTGGATTAATTATGAAAAAAAAACAACATTTTATTCCAAGGAACAAGTTAGTGTTCGTAACTCTAGATTCAGTATTTTCGATGAAGAAATAGTTATTTTTTAAAATTTTTCCAAAATTTTGTTTTCCCTCTATTTTTGAAAGGAATCCGTCGGGGAACCCAACCAAGAAATTAAGCAATCCTTATCCCTTTTGTTCGACAAAGGTTTTGGGCCCGGAAATTTTAAACCCCAATCGGAAAAGAAAACCTTTTTGATTAAGCGTTGGGCCAGGGCCAATTGGGTAAACCATAAATTTATTGATTTTTTATATCCAAATGTCATTTTTATGGGAAATTAAAAAGAATAAAAATTTTATTTTTTTTTTTAATCGATTGGGTACAATAAAACCTAAAACTTTCCCATATCTTAAATCTGAGGAAAACCTCAAGTCCCCCTTCATTTTTTTTTTCCATGCAGGGTGGCAGTAGTGAGAAAAACCCAACAACATCCTGCCTTTTTAAAAAATATTGCTGATATAAGATTTTAAATCTTAAACTTACGTACGTTTCTTAACCGTATGGATTTAAAACCTATCATCTCACATTTAAAAAAATGGACATAATTTTAATAAAAAATTTGAAATAATTCAAAATAACTTTGATAAAATTATTTCTTTTAATCAAATACCATCATTTAAAGTGACACGTCTCATATGCTTTATCAAAGACGTTACACCTTTGTACAGGCCTGTCTTTGTGACAATTTGCCCACGATGCTGATTTATGTGTTTGTTGTTTTTTGTTTGTAAAGTACATTTCTGTGGGAAAAAGTAGAAACACAGCTATCCGGCTATTTCGTTATAATTTCAAAAAATTTTACATTGTGGACTTAACCTGCTTGAAAAAAAAAATGTGACACGGAAAAAATGTTACATACATGTACTTGATTATTTCAAGATTTTCTGACTGCCGCTTAGTGTTAATTGTTCAAATTTTGCGTAAATGAATTGTCCTTCGTAAAATAAGTAGTTCCTAATTTTGTCTCATTTTTATAAGCATACATTTACATGTTTCAAACATGCTATCAAATCTTTTGGTGGTTTGTTTCAATTTAAAAATTTAATCCTATTTCCGTATCTACTATATGTTCTCATATATAGAATAAACTTGTATCAAAATATTCTTACAGTCACTGACAAAATAATTTATATACGAAAACACAAAGAAAATAATAGAGAATCAACGACAAAAAAATGCAATTCTAAAATATTCCGTCAGAATTTTCAATATAAAATATGCCACGTTATTACTTATATTAATTGGAAACTCAACACTTAATATAGTCTGTTAGCTGAATACAGATTCCGTATAAACATACGTCTTGTTAACATCTTTCGGGAATGTCTTTCTCTGGTGGAACAAACAGGACACCAGCACACCCTGCATTGGCTGCGCCGAAATAGTCATTAGTTACATTATCTCCAACATGAAGAGTATCCTCGGGTTTCACATCCGCCATACTGAATGCCATTTTAAATATACCAGAGTCTGGTTTTGGCTATTTTTTAACAACCGCCGATGCTTAAAACAAAGTCAAAATAATGCCTCAACGCTAACTGTGTCAATATTTTTTCCAATCTATCGTCAAATTTTGAAATTACTCCCGGGAGCTTTAAAAAGTCTTCCTTTAAGGTTCGATAATGTCTTTTCGGCGTCAGGCAAAATCTTTCCCAACCTTGTGAAGTGGAAAACATTACATTACAAATGCTGAGCGATTTTATTCTAAATTCTCCCCGTCACTTCCGGCGTTCCTTGAAAGAATCAACAACTACTTTATTCCACCATGCAAATGGAGTCAATCCATTATGAACGCCAAAATTTGGATACAAATCATTGTATGTCTTATACACGGTTCGGAAAGATTGATTTAGTTTAACAGCGTCTACGTCTTGTCCGTACATGCGTGCTACGTTGGCATAGTTGTGTCCTACACTTCGGGCGACACGCATTATCGTGTTCGTGACGTCAAATGTGATCAAACGCACAGGCGACATTTTCGCTATAAACGAAAAAGAAAAATAAGTATTATAAATAACTGCATATGCAGTATAGATAATGAAACCCTAAGCTTGTAAACCAGTTCACTGACAAAGAATGTAAACAATATACATGTAGCCTCACAGGACACACAAAGAATTTCTATGGAAAGTAATGATCGGACAGTACATACAAGATTCAGTGCTTGATTAAAGATTGCAAATTGTCAACAGATCAAATAAATCTGTAAAACGTTCAGTGAAGGTTCCTATATGTATCTCTAATCATTTAACCTGTACATAATTAAGTAACACGAAGAATCAGAACATATTTCAGCTTCTGAAAGAAATTTAAGAAATAATATACCCCAAACTGTGATTTTATTGCTCAATAACATCACTGTTTGGAGTTCGGATGCGGGGAATTATATCTCGAGGGCGTAGCCCGAGTGATATAATGATGCGCATCGTTATCAAGCAATAAAATCATCGATTTGGATATACATGTATTATTTCGATTCTAACACGATATCAACAGATAAATGCTACCGTACATGATAATTAGCTAAATTGCGTCTGATTTGTTTCCGTACTTATTGTCAGCGCGTCACATTTTATTAGTGGTTACGTCACGTGTCTAAATATAGAACGTCAAACAGTGATTTTATAGCATAATAACACACACTTTCGGTTCTTCTATGTTCAATAGGGAAAAATGCGGGTCGTGTTAGAATTACTGATAATGAACTGATTGTTAACAATGGTAACTTAATACGGTAAAACGCTTCATTATTGCCGATCTGTAAAAAATATCGTGTCTTAATAATAGTTATTCTTAAACAATCTAAATAAAATATATCAATATATCGGCTAAGGAGCAAACAAAAACTATCAAATAACAGAAATGATAAACTAAAATATTCCCCAATCAAATTTGCAATATTTTTAACGGTATAGTTCTGGCTTCCAAAACTTTATAAGCCGCTTTTTAATATTTTTGTTTTTCATGTTATGTCATACTATATAAACGGGTACGCCGAAGACCTTAAGCTATAAATGATATTGTGATATTGTACATATTTTCTCGTCGGCACTAAATATTAGTTATCGTTTTGAATCTGAACAAAAGATAAATAAAAATGGCCTAAAACTGCAAATTAGTTATGTTAAGTATCTTGATCTGCGTTATACATCATTTATAAATGTTTGACTAATTAATGTTTATTTACTTTAAACTGTCAGTGGGATCATTCTCGGAAACCCAGGCTTTTTACCGTAAAAGTAGTACCGTGTGTTCCGACGATGACCCTTACTTACATGATGTCTACCTTTGTTAAACTTAAAGTTAACGATTTCAAGAAAATATTCAATAATCATAGATATTTTCTAAGCATTAATGTGGTAAATTGTCCAAATGCAAGTCAGAAAATAATGAAACTTGCCAGTGTCTGTATCATATACAATGTCTATAATCAATGCAAGTTTTAATCTATTTCAAGTTCTGATTTCAGAGAAAATCAAGCGACAAATAGAATTTTTGGAGATATGTATTTCCTTCGTAGAAAGGTTTAAAGTTTTAAGGTTAAACTGTTACATTTTCCATATATTCATAGTGTCATTCTAGCTAACAACTATACCGGTTTTAAAGCAAAAACGAGCAATTAAGTGAATTTTAGACTTTTAAGGAAAGGACATGATACTCAGAGACTTAATTATTACAGATTAAGCCTCGTGTCAAACTTCAAGGAAGAGCTGTACCTTAACGTCATTGAGGTAAGAACTTCAGCACTCATGATAGTGTAGAAAACCTTGAATATACTAGATAAAATTAGACAAATATTTTGAACAGCTAATGACAAATATAGAAATGCAAAAGGGCTAAATCTTCATCACTGTCTTTGTTTCGTTGTACACTCATTCTCACTTAAGTACGACATTTCATAAATTCTAGAACTGAAAAATGAACTTTCTTGTATATTAAAATTTTATTCCATTCCAAAATTATAAGTATCTTGACATCTTAAATATAAAATATTACCAGTACAGATGTCCTAGATTTTTCCCTATGACAGGTTTTCTAGATAGAACCAGAAAATAAATTTCGTCATTTTCGAGACACTGGTCCTTAAATTTGTGCATATGGTATGGCGATTTTATTTTGTCTCTTTAAATAAATTTTCTATCATCTATTTATATGAACATCTGGAAATGAGAATCAATCATTGAACTGACAAAAAATACATCTTTTTAAAAACAACTCATGGAAATGCATTTTATATCGAATATGCTTAAATCTCATTTTAAAAATGAATAACCTTACAAAATCCACAGATCCATACAATGGACGAGTAAGAAAATGTAAAAATTACTGACGAATTCTTGGAAGTACCTATTTATTTATTATTCAATTGTCAAATGTGAAATAATTTACGTCATCTCATATATTGACAATTAATTAAGGACTCGTAAATGATTTTTCAATTGTCCCGTAAGTGACCCAGTCTCCAGATGCTATGGATTGACAGAAAGAAATGTAAATACTTTGAATTATATATTTATAATAATTGAAGATTAACTCATATTTATTTATGAAATGGAGCAGATATTCCTTTGGCAAGGTTGGGCTTTTTATCAATATTTAAACAATTGAACTGAAAATAGTAAAAAAAAAATGAGTAAAAGAGCGTATTAATGGTCTTAGATGTTCCACAAAATTGCTAGATTTGCATAAAATCCAAGTTAGTGTAAACGAAAACAATAGTACGAATCAAAACAAACATTTTTTCTCATAGAAATATCACTTTCATTGAGAAAATCACTGTTTTATAATTTTCTTTCGCTCTGGTCATTTACGGGTAAAGCTACTGTCACTAGCAAAATCAAACCAATAGGCTAGTAAACTTGCGCTCAAATTAAATCTTTGATGCAGTACCAAATGTTAAAACATTTTACAAGAATGTTCGGGCTTATATATCTCCACAAATTTTCATAGAACATTAAAGACACGGAATGTCGTACTTAAGTGAGAATGAGTGTGTAGTTTTATTAAAAATGACAAAAATTTACCAATGCCCTAAATGACACACTTAAATTATAGCATACTTTTGGGATGCAATAACAAATTAAAGATTAAATATCATTATTATTCTATAACATGTATATATATATATATATATATATATGTATTACAGGTGCATCTCAGGATTTTTACTAGGTTGAGGGATCACACTATCTTGACGAAGTGTAATACATATTCCAGAGGGAGTTTGATATGTTACTATTCCAAGGGGTTGGGCCGTGATTTTATTTTCTACTTAACTTTAACATACACAAATAAACCTTTTAATATCCAGACTATATTATATCTATGAACAGAAGCCAAATCCCGGGGGTGGGGGTCATCCACCACTCTGCAGTGCTCAGGCCAAGTAATATCAATACAATTTAACGTTATTGAATTATAAATTATGATTGTTCACAACTATATATAGCAACATTGAAAGATCGGTAAAGCTTGGCTTAACCTTTGGTTTTATAAGCCATACGAGTGATTTTCAAGATTTTCATACTGTCATGGCTCACATAAGAACATGTAACAACCGGAACACAGAAAATATACATAAAAATATACTGTGTGTACTTTTATAAACTTTTCTGTGTTTATATTTCTTGTTGGTATTTTGGCTGGGTGCGAAAGGGTAAAAATCTGCTGTGACGAAAAGTCCCACCAAAACAAGAAGATTATCTAACGTAAATTAATTATCTCGAAACTTGTATTTAGTATAAAATTTAAATGAATACAATACATGGCCAAAATACTTCTGTTATCGGACTGAATAACATTAACTTGAGACTAAACCCATTTTCAAATGCAAGTTTCAACATGTCGCCTAGGAACAAATCGAACAGGTAATAATGACATAATCACCGGTTTTTAAAAGTTTTATGATTTCTACAAAATCTCTATTGTTTTCCCATGTTCACCACTCAAAATAAATTTCTGTAAAACAATCTTAAATTTAAAAAATACCCTGGCAGAGTACAACAAGAAACTGGAAAAGCTTTATGCAATAATATACGCGACCGTACACTGTCCTGGTGAAGTCAGTCAACCGGAACAAAAATGGCCGTCACGGGAAGATAGGATTTTAATTGAATGTTTTCATGGTTTTAAAAAGAAAAGAGGTAAGAAATAGAGAAAGTGTTTACTAAACATATGAACATCGAACTTTTCATTAAAACTGATATCAAAAAATAAAATCAGTTCTCAAGATTACGCTGTAAACGCTAAAATACATGTAAAGCGTTCTTGACAACAGATTCTTTCCTATATGCCTGTAGTATAGTAGTTAATTAAATATGGAACAGTGGAAGTCAGAGGGACATATACCAGTAAATGCCTCAATAAAATAAAGTTTGTAATTTGATTAATCTATTCCCAGAATTGGGGATGCATTTTTGTAACATATGATTCTTTCATACATATGAAAATCATAAAAAAATAATGCATGGCGAGGCACCTGAGGTCTTCATCATCCTCAACCAGTAAAACAGTGGCAAGACACTATAAGGCAACTGTTTTATAGTATAACTGTTGGTGTAACTTTACACCCATTAATTAAAACCAAACAAACCACACTGTAACATATGATAGAGACACAAAATAAGTGTCAATTTTTGTGTCATATAAAGATCAATTCTAGCTCTGTCGTCTATCTGTCTGTCTGTCCATCTAGTTCCATAATTTTTATCAGAGTTTTGGCCCTTTAATGATTTTCATTTTCAAAGTTTGTCTGGACTGCTCTGCTTATACCACAAATTTATGCAATTTCAATCAAATGTTACAGGATTGATCTGTAGTTCAAGTATTTGGCATATTGATCGTGTTTTCCGGTTGAATGATTTTTGGCTGAGTTATGGCCTTTGAATAAAAATGGTTGTTGTTTTTTTTGGTGGTGCCAGCTACATAAAAGTTTGTCTGGACTACTCCTCAGAAACAATGGTGCAATTTCATCTAAACTTTACAGGGATGATCAATACCAAGTCTAGTTGTATATATGTCATCAGCATTTTCCAGTTCATAATGAATTTTGGTCAGACTCAAAGTTATGGCCCTTTATTAATGATTATTATTTTTAAAGTATGTCTGGACTACTCCTCTTATACAACTTATGAAAGTTCAATGAAAACTTTCTTTACAAGATTGATTTGTAGCTCAAGTTCTTGTGCGTATTACACAAGTTTTCTGGTTGAATGCTTTTTGGTAGAGTTATGGCCTTGAATTAAAAATGTGTTAATAAACTTTTTCCCAACTACTCCTATTATGCTACTTATGCAATTTCAATGAAATTTTACAGGATTGATCGAAATAGCTCAAGTACTTGGGCATATTGCACAGGTTTTCCACTTGAATGATTTTTGGCTGAGTTATGATCAGTCTGCGAAATTAGCAGTTGTCCTATTGCCTGAGACAACCATTTTTTGGTTTGGACAACCAATTTTTAAAAGTTCACTTGCCCAATGGACAAGTAAAAATTTGCAGAAAGTATTCTTCAAAAATGTCAAGGAATAGTGATAAAATGCAAGATATCAAATACAATAGGGAACGATCTGAGATAAGCATCGTAATTACGTCACTGATAAGAGACCTGTTCTAAAAATAGCCACACTTTCGGACAAGGAAACTGGTTAATCTACATGTAGATTATACAACATGTAATGGTTACGAATACTTTTATTCACAATTCTCTCAATGGAAATGATGTTCCTGGAGTTAAACTTGCGTAAAGCATGATTGAGATGGTTTAAAACCATCAGGAAAATAAAGATGATATGGTGAAAAAGAAATAACTTTCGGGGGCAATACTTTCCCTGCATGTCAATTTGAGAAAAAATGCCGGCGCTTGGCAATTTGTTTTGTGTTTCACTGTTTATTAAAATTAGAAATGGTGATATGATATGGTATGATTTTAAAGAAATTGAGATTAAAAAAATGAAAAAGTATCTTTCTGTCCAGATATACCGTACATAATTTTTGTTTCTATGTAAAATACGCAGATTGGAGAAGTCATGAATCTATCCACCAAAGTGCTACGAGTATTAGATTAATGATTAATATCTTAAATCAATTCTTTAATAATTTTAGAATAAGCAAAACTCTGCATTTTTCCTATTTTACCTAATAAAAAATGCCGATTCTAGTAGTTACTTTATCAGAAATAATGTATACGTACATGCATGCTTGCATGTATATTTAAACTGAGTCCGTGATTTAACATACACTGTTTACGAATAGACAATAAAATACATTTGTTTTTTATTTTATGTCTCACACAAAATATTTGTTGTTAAAATCATCGCCAATTTAGAATTACTGGTGCATTTTTTAAACTTCGCCTCATCAATCAAAAGAGTCAAACTTTTTTTCTGCCTGAATGAAAAATTGATTATGACAAAAACCGTTTTATTGACAAATATAGAGGCCAGAGCAGATTGTGACATATGTTTAAATTTAACTTTTCAAAAGTACTGTGTGTAGTTGTCCCTTTTCTTTTCACACTAAATTCCATTTCCAACTTGTTTGCATTCTACAATTTCTTAAAATATTGCATGTAAACAAAGTAAATATACGCTGATTAACATCATGTATAATGTGTACTCCCTAATCCCTTGTCCGAAAGTCAGTACAGGTGATGTAGTGGTGATAAGGTAAAATCTATTTTTAGAACAGTGTTACCTTCAGATCGAAGGCTATTAGTTTGCTTACATTTATGACTGTTTCTCATTGAAGATAAGTTTGCAGATTTGATCAATTATTGCTTGGAGATGTTCTGATGAAAATATTCGGGCAACCAGTTTCTACTTCCGACAACCAGATTTTCTTGAATTAGTTGCCTAAATGACAACAATTTTTAAACCCTAATTGCACTGACAGGTTATGATTCTTGAATAATAAAAAAAATAAAATTTTTTTTTTTTGGTGTTGCCAGATGCACAGAAGCTTGTCTGAACTACACATCAGAAACTACTGGAGCTATTTCAGGAATGATCAATACCAAGTCAAGTTGTGCATATCATTGGTATTTTCTGGTTCAGTGATTTTGTCAGTGTTATGGCCCTTTAATTATTTTTATTTGTCAAGGCTTCTCTTATACTACCTCTGATGCAATTTTATTGAAACTTTTGAAATTCAGGATTGATTAGTAGCTTAAGACTTAGTATGTGCTCATATTACATGGGTTTTCGGGTTGAATGATTTTTGGTAGAGTTATGGCCCTTGAAGAAAAAAAACATTTTGCCCTGTAAATTTATGACTTGTAGTGTCTCCTACTACGCAGTAGCTGAAACATGCAATTGGCTATCATGAATCGACACATGTGGTCACTGATAGCTATTGTAGTAGTTTCTTTTCTGTAGATTTACTCTGTGAGTTTCTCTAAGTCTAAATTTACAAAACAGACATTTAATATTTTCCAATTTCAAAGACTAAAATTTGAACAGAAAATGCATGTTTTCTACAAAAAATTTATAGAAATTCAATGTCAATTTGGAATTAAAAGGGGATGATTTTACTTAACAAGGTGTTTGAAATTCCTGAAATTTATAAGTTCCAGTTTTATATATACATGTAATTCTCCAGGGAGTTTTTAGCTTTCACTGTAGTGCATGTTGAAAGGTAAAAAGACATTAATTCTTGGACTGTCTGACAGGAACAAAGAAATCAGCATACAAAATTTATTTATGGTTTGAAGGAATTTGTATGATTTTATTGTAGAAACTTTTAAATGTATAAATAAAGTACATACCATCATGATTACTTAAGATATTAAGCAATGATGGGTAGGCCTGGTTCGAAAGACAAAATGACAACAAAACTGTGAATCAGGTAGCAACTGGAAGTTGATACCCCTCAAATTTTTCCTGGTACCTCCAGAGTATGAAGAGTACAACATTAATGATTGGGGCATTATTAAGTAACATATTACAACATATATAGTGTGTTTAATCCTTGATAAGTTTATTTAAGAAGTAAGGGAACATTATAAGAAATATTTTTTTGTTTTTTTTGTTTAAGTCTAAAGGTTTTTTACAGATAAAAATTTTTGGGGTAAACCCCTTTATTTAATTTTTTTTTTTTTTTATTTTTTTGTCATTTATCTTTTGAAAAAAGGAAAAACCAAAAAAAATTTATTTTTTTTTGGGGGTTAGGGAAAAAAAAATTTTTGTTTTTTTTTTTTTTCCCCAAAATTTTTTTTTTTCCCAAAAAACAAACCCTGGGGGTTTTCTAAAAGGGGGGAAAATTTAAATTACGCTTTTTAAAATTCAGAAAAGGGGGGAAAACCCGAAATCAAACCAAAAAACTGAAAATGGAATTTTTTAAACCCCCCCCCCACATTTTTAAAAAGGGGGAAAAAAATTATTTTCAATTAAATTTAAATTTGCTGGTATATGGGAAAGGAGCTACCCAAATAGGGAAATTAGATTTCTGTTTTTTAGTTCAGTAATTTTAAAGATCTGTTATTTTTGAAGTTTCACAAGGGGGCATTTTAGGGGGAAAAATAAAAAACCTGTTTTTGGATAGGGGAAAAAAAAGCCTTTATTCGGCTGTAAAATACAGTGAAAAGAATCACTGTGAATAATAATAAATTTAGAGTGCAATACCTCCAGTTGAGTAAATTAAGTCTTCTTATGAAAAATATAGTGTAAGAAATTTATAAATATTGACAATCTGTTTAGATTTTGATTGTAACATACAAAAATTTTAACAGAAGATACAATGTACTATCTTTGTCACCGAAATTCTGACCTCTTACTGTAAGAACAATGAATGTATAGAAAGAGGTACAGTTTAACCTGTCTTAGCAACTTCAAATGTTAGTTCACTTTACACAGAGTTCTTTTATATAGTGTGTCAAGTATCAGCATTTCAAATTTCAATATATTAACATTTTCTTATATGGTAGCAAATAACAAAATTTACCTTAAACCGAATGAGAATTCTAGTTGGGGTAATTGATTGAAGGTTGCTTGTCGCATTAGACAGGGAGATGTTATATTTAGATACAATATATTATAGAAGTACCTCAGAGAAGATCTCAAAAGGAAGGTGGTTATAAATGATATTGTTAAAAACAGAGAGTCATTCAGACAAGTTAAGACTGTATTAAAAAAACAACCCAAAACAAACCAGCAGAGTGAAGAAACTGATAAAAAAACATTATATATGGCTTATTTCTTCAATGTAGTCTGAAGTTCTCTTTTGATGAAAAATTTATTTTTATGTCAATATAATTTCTGCCTGGCTTAAAGTGCAATAAAACTTTTAAGTAAGGCTGTTATGGAAATGCTATTTTATATATTTTACCATCCATTGAACTAAAAATTGATCAATAAGTTAACTCAGATTTGGTCAGTAAAAGGTTTTAAAGGTTTGAAAACACATTTGAAAATAGATTCTATACAATGAATTAAGAGGAGGCTAATTTTTGTTAACATCTAAATTATCAATAATAAATTCTTATAGAGTGAGAAGATTTATTTATTTTATATTGTAGTTTTCTATATTTTTTTCTATATTTCTTATTTGTGTATATAGCATAATAGGCGATAAGTGTTGAAAATACTTTGACATTGTTCAGTTTTTTTTTAAATTAAGTTAATTATTATCATTTTTGGACTGCCATGAAGAAAAGAATTGTGAAATTATGCAGAAAAATTGAATTGTCTCGACCAGGAATATATCATTAGTACATGAATGATGAAATGATGAAAACTGCATATTCAATGAGATACAACTGTTGTAATATATTAATTATTATATTATAATTATAATATTAATGTTTAATAGTTCATAGGTGATCTGACATTGTTTAATAGTTCATAGGTGACCTGACAGTAAATAGTTCATAGGTGGTATTTGACAGTGTTTAATAGTTCATAATTGGTCTATCAGTGTTTAATAGTTCATAGGTGGTCTATCAGTGTTTAATAAGTCATAGGTGATCTCTGACAATGTTTGGTAGTTCATAGATGGTCTAACAGTGTTTGATAGTTCATAGTTAATAGGTGGTCTTAAATCGTTTAATAGCTCATAGGTGGTCTATCAGTGTTTAATAGTTCATAAGTGATATGATAGTGTTTAATAGTTCATTGGTGCTCATTAGTGTTTGATAGTTCATAGGTATTTAGTTCATAGGTGTTCTTACATCGTTTAATAGTTCATAGGTGGTCTATCAGTGTTTAATAGTTTATAAGTAATATTATAGTGTTTAATAGTTCATCGTTGGTCTATCAGTGTTTAATAGTTCATAGGTGATCTATCAGTGTTTAATAGTTCATAGGTGATCTTTGACAGTGTTTAATAGTTCATTTGTGGTCTTTGACAGTATTTAATAGTGCATGGGTGATTTAACAGTGTTAAATAGTTCATAGGTGGTCCTTAGACACAGGTTTGACAACATTAGCATTCAGTTAGTAATAGATGGATCTTTCAACTTCAAATGATATTTTATTGAAATTTTACAACTTGTAATAAATCCTGCTGTAATTGAACTACTTGTTTGTTGGGTTTTTTTTAAAAGAGAAATTTGTTTTTATCTTTTATAACATTTTTAAGGATTGATCGATATAAATTATTTTACATTTAAAATCAAGAGTCTTTAATTATAGTGATAACCTTTGTAAATGGTAAGTTTGTATATTTAATTGAATTTACAACATAAAATAGAATTTTTAATCTCTTAATATGCTGTTTTACTTTAGATATGCACATAGAATTAGAGTTTTGAAAAACGCGAATTCCAAATGAAGTAAATTGTAGTTTAATACAGGGTTGTATTTATATTGTTGGACAAATGCCATCATATAGATGTGGTTAATATGATAGGTTGGAAGTTACGTACATATTTGACAATCTTTTGTAATACTCTGGGCTTGCTGAAATCCTGTTAGAAGTCGGTCACAGTGTTGACGGTGGTAATGATATGGTAATAAAATTTGGAGAAAAGTCAAATGGTTTATCTTTAATCTGTAGGGGATTTATTGATTGAAAATTCAACAACAATCATGAAAAAAAAGAATATACAGTCATTACATTATCATGAAAAATTCAACATGCGGGTCTGTAAGCTCCTATTGTTTATTTTGTTGATTTAAGAGATAATGTTTGTTTAACTTAGGTGTGTTGTTTTAACTTTCAATACTTTTTTTCCCTGATATTAAAGTATTTAAAAGTAATAACTCGTAAATAGTATGTGTCTTTCTTAATGTTCACATACAACAAAGAGTGACTCTTTTATTTGACATTTATTGGCTCTATACTGCTGGCAAAACTAGTCCTGGTTCCAACAGGTTAAAGCCATTTGAAATGACAACAATGGTATTAATGGCCTTAAGTGTCTGTTAATTATAAGTTTGCTAAATCTCAATAAATTGTTTCTTATGAATTGGGGTTTGAATTCTTCTATAGACCTTGACTTTTACTTGAGCCAACTTACAGTCAAGCCTTTACTGACAAGGTCTGGTATTTATCAGAAAATAAGGTGATAGTAGTAAAATTTAAAAGAGCTGCACTGAAGTCCAAAAGCCTAAATACTTAATTTGAAAATCTTACATAGATCAACATTGCACTTTTTAGCTGGCCTATTCAAAGATAGGGAGAGCTATTGTACTCACCCGGCCAAGTTTCGATCGGCATCACTGTCATACTTTGGTTCTCCAAAAATAATTAAAGGAATGGGTTGAAACTTCACACACTTGTTCTCTGTCATTACCTGACATAATGGGTTCAGTTCCCTTACATCTGGGTTACCTTTTTACAGATCAGTTTTGCCCAAGCACTGAGAATAGATGAGTTATAATGCTCTTATGGATAGCTGAAAAAAATATTATTCTGGATAAAAAGGAGTGAACAAATGATCTGAAATTTTATACACAAGTTATTTGTATAGATCACATCATGAAGTATAAAAATCTCGAAAAAATGTTTTCAATCCTATTATGTCAAAAAACCATAGCCAGGAGTCTAGACCCTTTAAGGGACATCTTGTACTAGATATGCTTCAACACTTGTCACAATCATGAATACATTAAGGACGTTTTCGGGAGTTTTCATATAGACATATAGGCAAAATAAAAACTGTTCAATAGAATTTCTTTAAACTTGGCATGTTGTTAGAATATGATAACAGTAACATTTTAAGCGAAAAAAACATTTGGGTCACCATTCTCGTTTTTTGAGTTATCTGCCCCTGTATCAGACTTTTCTACTTATTTGAGGTCATTTAAAGGGCAGATAACTTATACAAACTTAAATGAATTCTTGTTTTTACTTCTGGATTATGTTTTTCTTTTTATTGTTGAGTACAATACATAATAATATGCAATTCCTTACATCGTTTCCGTTAATTTTTTTTCAATGAAAATAAAGGTACTTTAAATTCTTCAAAAATAGGCCATTTTTTAAGAAAAAATGCACAGGTTAAAAGAAGAAGTGGGAATTAAAACTACCCACTATAAATTTGTTCTTGAAATTTTGCATATCAACTAAACCGAAGGTAAGCTTCATAAAAATAAGAAAAAAAAACGTATTTATTCCCTTCATTGTAAATTATCTGCCCTTGAATTTAACAAAAAAAGTCCAATTCAAGGGCAGATAACTCAAAAACGAAAATGGTGACCCCAATTTTTTTTTTTCGCTTAAAATGTTTCTGTTATCATATTCTAACAACATGCCAAGTTTAAAGAAACTCTATTGAACAGTTTTAATTTTGCCTATATGTCTATATGAAAACTCCAAAAAACGTCCTTAAGTTGTCTTAATGTGATATAAATAAAACATTGTTTATGTCTTGTTAAATTGATCTAACATGTGTATTTATGTTAATTTCAAATAATTTCTTCATACCAGTGCTTTAAATATTTTAATCAGTTGTTTGTATTGAAAGTAAAAAATTTATTAGCTCTATATTTTGGTCTCTATGTAGGCAAATATGCTGAAAGTCATAACTTTGAACTGAAGTGCTTGTCTTAAGTTATAATTTATACATATTACATCTAAGGATGTGCTGTGTGTATTGAATTTTTATCATAAATGTCATTTAAAAAAAAGGAAAGAAAACAATAAAAAATTATATTTGTATTTTAAAATTGCAGTAAAGCTGACTTAGTGTTAAGGAATGGGTTTATTATTGGCAGTGTGTGAATTATTTATAATCATGTCTGCTAATATCTCCTAGTACTCCTTGAGGGATTTTCATGAAACTGTGGAGAAATTTTAACCACAGAAAGATTATAAACATACAGAAAACATGATTTTCATGATCATGGACCATTATTCATGGTATATATTTGCATGACAGCTGAAGTTGTGCCAGCCTATATATGGTCAGTGTGATACTTGAAATTCAGTGGGGGATAGACTTTGGGAATATTTCTATTTAGTCTGCTTTGTTAGATTTTAGTGTGATTTATTTTCATATCATTATTTTTTTATTTTTCATGCTTTCAGATGACTGTGATATAAACTTTACCTACCTCCAATGATGAAGAAGACTCCAAGGGCAGGTCACTCTAACCTCCCTGTCCCTAAGTCCTCCAAGGGTTCTCCTAATAATGCAAAATCCACATTGAGTAAAGGAGGACCTCACACACGTTCGGCTGAGGACATTCCACGTAGGGTACAACTAAGTGTTGCAGGAGGACCTCCATCCCCACAGAGAAGAGCAGTTTCCCCTGGTACACCACAGAGAAGAAGTCTCCTTCCTTCTCCAGGTACTAGCAAAGATTATCTCCCCTGTCAACAAGTTTCATAGGCATTTCTTCTCACTTAAGATAAATTTATTAAGTCTGAACAATTGGTACTTTTTATTTTAGCAACATAATTTTCCGACCAGATTTCACAGAGTTTATTCTACTTTTATGTATATATATACATATTGTCTTCTTTCGTCTTATTGTTTTAAAAGCATAACATTGTATCTGAAATGAGTGATTTACTCAAATCACACTATGATAATTGCAATCTAATGACTGTGAGAAGTGTATATGGTCTTGAAATACCTTGACCTTTATTAAGAAAGCAGTAAACACTGTATTCAAAGTCAAACACGGACAACTCCATCAGCTCATCATCTAAATTCAACAGGTTTCTGGTTCAATCTTTTTTTAATTTTGAATAACATTCATATTGTTTACAGTAACAGTTCAAGGACAGAATGGACAACAGTCTGGTGTGCGATATATTACAGAAGATCTTATACGTAAGGTCTGTAAGGAGGACAGTCTGGAAATGGTCACCACAGTTAACTTGACCTTGACCAAGGCAGAGGCTGGCAAGAAAATTAAGGTAAAAAAGTGATAAATAGATAAATACTGCTAGCTTATACATTATGTTCATTTTAGCCCTAAATATACTTTACAGCCCTTATAAATGGGGCGTCCATGGCCGTTTGGTTAAGGCAGTTGTCTTCAAACCACTTGCCCCTCACCGCTGTGGGTTCAAATCCCGACAGGGATTTTGGGTTCTTTTATGTGAGGAAGCTATCCAGATAGCTTAAGGAATGTTTGTGGTTCTACTCGGGTGCACGTTCGTACCTGAAATAATGCACGGAAGTGCACCTGAGGTCTACCTCCACCAGTAAAGCTGGAACGTCGCCATATGACCCATAATGTGTTGGTGTGACGTAAAAATCAATTAAACAAACAAGCAGCCGTTATATGGTAATTTGCATTTTTATTGCGGATTATTAGGTCATTACAAAGACTTTTTAGGTAGATTGAGTAATTTGTTAAGATCTTTTGCAAAAAATATAAAAAGATTATCTCTTTTAGCATGTATTCCTTTGTAAACATATAAAATTCCTGCATTTTGAGGCTCTTATTTTGCTATTAAGCACTGAGAATAGCCAAAAGTATTGTCTGTCTGGCAGCACATGCTATAAAGTTTAAGTTGTCATGCAAGTCGTGGTAAATATTGAAATGATACTTTGGTTTGTAAAAAAAAATGTTTTATTGTCAGAAATGAAAAGAATTTAAATTGATGACCAGTATCATCTGTGGCTGAGTGGTTTAGTTGGTGATGTAAAACTATTTCCGCAGTGGATATGATCCCATAAAGGGCATCAGATTGTTTCATGCAGAAAAACTGTCCAGCTTAATACAGAAGGCCAACCCGGGTGTAGATTTTCCAAGGTTTTTGGCTCAAAATCCTTGGAAAAAAACCTCGGAGTATTGGAACAAGAAAATGCAAAACTTTGCTATTAAAAAAACCTTGGAAAAATAGGGAGAGGGTGAAAAACCTTGTAAAAAATTTCCGAGTTTTTTTTTAAAAAAAAACCTCGTAAAAAGTATGACCTCGGAGTATTGGAACGATTTCCAAGGATTTCAGAATTAAAACCTCGTAAAATAATTTCCGAGGATTTTTTTAGAAAACCTTGGAAAAATGAGTGACCTCGGAGTATTGGAACGATTTCCAAGGATTTTAAAGTGTTTTACGTGGTTTGTTTTCCAAGGTTTTTTTTTAAATGAAAACCTCGGAAAGTTTCTCACAACTGGGAATACTGTTATATTTTCGAGGATTCTTACTTAAAGGCATCAGAGAATTTTCCAAGGTTTATTTGAGCAAAAACCTTGGAAATTTCTAGAATATCCATGGAAAATCAGAAAATATAACATCCAATCAAATATTCTGAAAAGAGAAATTATATTGTCCTTTTTAAGGAATTAAGAAACTTCTTTGTAATAATACAGAGCAAAAAATGATCACATGACTCACTGAAACATTTAATGTCAGTGTGAAGTAAATAATAATGCACTACCAATGAAAAGTTAAGTTAGAAGTCTTTAATGGTAAATATTACACTCAATGTTCAGTTATAATATTTTGGTATCCGGTTAAATTTTAATGTATTAAAATATCTATCTTTTGAATTCCTGTTCACTCTTCATGATTTTTAAATGTCCCTTAGTTTTTCACTCACTATCACAGGGGTCGCATGTGGAAAATGCTCCAGGATACAATTCCTGAAATAAATAAAGTAAACATTTAATAAAGTACAGCCATTGAAAGAAGTTAGAAAAACAATTACATAAAATCACCACTGGGCGCTTCCCTCTCCATTGGGCGCTTCCCTCTCCATGTGGTCAGGATCAAAGACTTCAAACTACTTGCCTTACAACATTGTATTTTTGACTCCTGAAGCCAGGATGGGATTCTTCCCTCTGAGGGAGCTATCCAGCCCAGGATTAAGGAACACCTGTGGTTATACTCAGGACAGTTCAGTATGTGTAGGCAATCAGAATTACATCATTTAATTTCTTTTTTATTAATCAATAAAAAAAATAATACAATTTCCTTAAACGTTTCCATAGACAAAAATATCAGTTCACTGTTGATATATATTGTTTTAAAAAATCAGCACTTTTGTGAAAAGAAATACATCTTTTGAGTGATCCAAAACTACTTGAATTACAAGTTGTTCAAGACCATTGATTAAAATGAAGGCTTTAATATTTTCAAATGACCTTTTCTGTAGTTACTTTTAAATATTGGTCTACTGTTTTGAAATAGTGAATTTAATTTTTTTCATGTTGATTTCTTATTTTTCTTCATCAGTACTTAGTGTCAGGATTTCAAGAAAACTTTGGTAAGCAGTGTGACAATTCTGCGATGTTTAGAAAAGAAACGATGTCTGTTACTATTATTTTAGATAGTGTCATACTGGATGTTACAACCTAAAGCACTCTTAAAATATTGCAAAAAATAACACTTTTCAAAGGTGATTCCGATTGCCTACACTAATTGTATCTGTCTGCTCAAAGTGACATCTGCATCAATAAAGCTGGAGAGTCATCATGTAACATTAACAGCATTAACACAAGTATCAATAAAAAAAATCAGTTCCAGAAACCTTCATTCATTCAAATTTCAAATTGAAACTTTCAAAACCTAGTTTTAAAACAAAAACATACTGTAGTATATTCCTTGAAGCCTTTCCTGGTCTACAGTTGGCTTCCTTAATCGATGCCTGGATGCCAATGATATACTTTAAACTATGATAAAACACAGCAAAGCTGGATTTCCATCTTCTTGTAGTTTGGAAAAGTCTTGCAAACTTGTTATACCGATTGGAAATGCACGCCCCGCTTGGAGATATGCTAGAGGACTGATAAATAAAAATCCAAGATTTAAATTTTGAAAAACATTAATTCTTTATTTTGTGAGAGTCAAGATGACATATGACTTTTATATTACAATACATTTTAAATTATTAAAGTTATTATTCAGTAATTGCAATATTTAAATTAACAAATACATAATATGGTGAATTAAAAAATAACTCGATTTGCATGTAAAAAAATAGCGAGATCTTGGTCGATGATAAAAATCCTTAATCAACCGATACTTATAAAAAATGAACTTTTAAATAGCTTTGAAATGAAACTGATGATTGAATAAAATCAACTATATCAATATAAATTATATGAAAAATATTACTTATGGAACAATTTACTAATAACTAAAATAATAGTATTTTATTTACAAATTACTTTATATTAAGTAAAGAACTTAGATTTAACATTTCTTATTAAGCAAAACTAAACTTTATACATTATCTTAAGACATTTTACTTTACTTCTACAATAAGAAATATTCCAAGATCTCAGTTATTTAGGTTATAAAATACAATGATTATTTAATATGCAAAGTATTGAAAAATCTACAAAATATATATATTAAAACATATTTGAGAGAAACAGCTTAAGATAAAAAAAAAACATATTTCTTACAGTGAAACATTGAATGAAGAACAGCAGATATATAGAAAAATAAATAACTCAACATACCTGATAAATAAAAATCCAAGATTTAAATTTTGAAAAACATTAATTCTTTATTCTGTGACAGTCAAGATGGAATATGACTTCACAGAATTTCTGACCAGTATATATACAAACAAGAAAGTGAAGCAGATTTAATCATAAAGGAAGATATTGACACATTTAAAAAGGGAAAGGAAATAAAACAATCACATATTCAAAAGATATGTGATGGCAGATCTTATAATTATTCCCTAAGGGCATAAAATCCCTGATCATATAAAAAGTATTGTCACCTAGAACCATTAACATCCCTTTATATTTACCTTTAAGCAGGATATATTAATTTTGCATTTTAATCTGTAGATTTAATCTTAGTTATAATTTAAGTTTGACACATTTAATATGAAATGTGACAATAGTTGAAATAAAAATAATCAAGTACACAATTAAATGAATAAGAATAAAACTACAGTAAGAAAGAGAAGTTGATATTTATAGATGAATAATACATTAAAGTATATGTGCATTAACTGTTTAAGACTTACAAAACAGACAAAAAAATACAAGATAAATTTAGATTATAACAATTGCCCAGTCCCCCTTAACTTTGGTCCCCAAAGTTGAAATAGAAATACCTGTACAATTAAATGAATTAAAGAAACTGGAAAAGAAATATATACAGAGATGTAAGCATTTAAAATTATACAGTAATATGCATGAATATATACAAGACAAATTTACATTATAACAATGAACTATCAACTAGTACAGAGATCACTCATTTGTCGTCCTATTGCAAGAGTAAGAACTAGATATTGTAGTACTAAATTGATGCAATGCATAGTCTGGGCAGAAGGGTCCACTTGCCTAAGTAAAAAGAGGACTTGTTTTTGTTTGTTTTGTGAACAAACAAAGCAAAACAAAACAATGTTTTTTTCTAATTTCCAGACTTTGTCGCATATTCTTATGTCATGGCAGTAGAAACCTTCATTAAGAGATTGACTCATTCAACATGATTCATGTGACACAAAATAAGAGGGATCAATATCTTTATAAAAATGAAATTGTGATCTAATATATATAAGAAAAACAAATACACAGACACAGACAGATACAAACAATATAGATGTAGCTCAGCCGGTTTAGATGGTGGCCAACCATCTTATAGCACTACTAGACAACAAAGTTAATTTGTTAGGTTTGGCTTTGCTACATTAAAAGACACCAAAAAACATGTACAAAATAGGGATATAGTTTTATTTGTTAGGAACAGTGGATTATATAAAACATACACACATATACATAAATTTATTCATTTGAACCCAATGTGTTCTGGGTCTCATATGTTTTACTGCGGGTTTTCATTCCATGCTGTGAAGGCTTCCTATTTGCTTTCCTGATGAGATAGTTTTGAATGTCGTCAAGATGACATTTATCCATATGTATCCATTCTCTAGATCCTTCAAATTGATAATGTTTCTTACCATTGATGAACCTATCTTTGATGATTTTCCCTGAAAATAA